ATGTTTCTACACGAAACCAGCTGTGTTTAGATTAAGTTAAACATGAATCCTTAGTGCTCTCTCCAACTTAATCCATTCCCACATGGATCACTCTAAGGCTTACCCCCTTGCTCGCCTGTAAACTCCCCTCTAACAATGAGAAATCTGCCTTCCACTCTCTGCTATCCATTTATATTTAATTGTTCAGTTCCCATATACATGTACAGTGGCTTCAGAATTATTAGCCCTCACCCCCATGGGAAACGTGTCAATCAGAATAAAGCGCGTATGTGCCATTCCTTTGCCTTTAGTTTTACGGACACTAAACTGCACAATTCCTTAGGGTGGCACCTTTTTCTTCCTCCCTTTCTGTGAGGTCGTTTCATAGATTTTGACCAAATTCCTTTTTTCCCCCCACTAGGTGGATTTCAGCCCAGGCAGAGTCAGGCTCAGAGTGTCGGGGAACCCTTCTTCCTCTCAGCCTCCCTTCCTCTTTTTCTCCCCTCCACCAGCTTGCTGATACCCTGTTTCATCCTGCATCCCTTCTCCTGGTGGAGGCCAAGAATATGTGTTTGGTCTCTATCCTGCAGGAGCAAAGGTGAGCCGTTACGGTCAGGGGGTGACGCTCCACCGACGTCCGGGGATGAGGTCCAGGTTCCCAGGTCCTCCAGAGGAGAGAAACTATGAAAGAAGAAAACTCTTCTCTTTGTAGTACTCATGGCTTTCCAGTGTCCCTTCAGTATGTCACTATGTTAACGTGACCGCCACCCACAGACATGAGGGTGGACAGGAAGCAAGGGGGAGAACGGGGTCAGAGAACGACAGGCTGCAAGCCCGGATGGGGCTCAGTCACGCCGCGGCCTTGCCAGGATTCTACAGGCTATAGATTTTCCCCAGTCAAATCATTCATGGAAACAAAATGTCCTTCTCCTATTAGACATTATTTTCTTCAAATTTCTCTATTTTTAAAAAATCATCAGAGTATTAGAATACTTTGAGAAAACATCACTCCTTCCTCCTGGAAAGCGATTTGAATTACAGCCTCATAGTTATGATAATGGTTGTGGCTCTGGGGTGGGAAGGGGTCTGAAGTTTGAAGTGACATCCCTCCTCAGTTCTGTCCCTGGGGATGAGCAGGGAACCTGACAGCTGATCACTCCTTGCCTTTGATAAGCACCTTTCTTATTCTAATTACACCTTTCCCTAAAGTAACTTTTCTATTCCCCCCCCACCCCCCACCTCTTACATCTCTGTTTAAAAGGAGCCTATTCAGACAGCCTGTGAACAATGACGCTTTGGGATGGTTTAATTGGGGAAAGGAAACCTGTAGAGGGTCTTATCTGGGGTGAGCGCCTCAAGCATCCAAGATTATCTCCCTGTCACCTCATGACCCATCTCCTTCATGCCACCTTTTAATTTTGGTAGCAATTACGGTGTATATGGATAATGCCCATTAGCATATTCATGGTCATCTCCTCATATTTATTGTCCGCACAACTCATTAATCTTCATCTACTTTGTGTGCTTGACAGCTCAATCTATTTTGCAATCTCTGGGAAGCAGCCATAGCTCCCCAAAGCCTTTGTTTTCCTGTAAATAAACTGTGTTGGGGACCAGAGGACAATGGTGTACCTCGTGGTGATTGACATCAGCCAGGGCTACTAATCAGGATGGGACTTCATTGCCAGCTGAGTCGAGTGCATTATGGGGCCATTGTTCCAACCCTGCCAGGGCAAGAACACACACAGCCAGTCACCTTCAAAAGATGGGTTGATTGTTCTTCAAGATTAGACCGAGTTGCCTTATTATCCGTCCCAGACAACAAGGCATCTCACCCAAACAGACGCATTTTCAGGAACTGCCCGTACACAGGCCAGATTTGAATTGCTAATGTATAATCTGCCCGGCACAGATGTGCAATGAATATTTGGATTTTTTTTTTGCCCGTCAGTCCAGGAGGCTGCATTGATGAGGTGATGAGTATTCAGTGATGGGGCCTGGACGTCAGCCAACAGCAGTTTGAGCACTTGCAGTGACCGTAATCCGATTACCCCCCAAAGTGCTTTTGCCGCTATTCAGTGGCAAATTCTGTTACAGGGACCTGTTGGGAGGAAAGTTCCCCTTTCTTCCTGGTGCAATAAAATGTCTCGTTATGTTTTTCAGACTTGGGAAAGGTACAGAAGTTGCCTTTATTGCGCCCATACCTGCCAACTTGCAAGGCTGTGAGTTATGTGAAGCTGGCTTTCTTGGGTTTGAAGTTGTCATTTTCTAGCTTTTCTTTTTTTTTTTTAAAGATTTTTTTTTTTTTTTTTTTTTTTTTTTAGGGAGGGGAAGGAAGGGAGAGAGGGAGAGAAACATCAATGTGCAGTTGCATCTTGTGTGCCCCCCTACCGGGGACCAGGCCTGCAACCCAGGCATGTGCTCTGACTGGGAATCAAACTGGCGACTTTTTGGTTCTCAGGCTGGCACTCAACCCACTGAGCCACACCAGCCAGAGCTCTAGTTTATTTTCTCAAGCTCTTTGATGTTTCAGTTTTCTCATGTGTTAAAATGGGTTGAAAAAGTTCTATCCACCAGATTGAGCTGCTGTGAGGATCCAATGAATTGATATAAAAGAATAAGTCCCAGAAGAATGCCTGCCTTATGCTCAGCGAATGTTGACTATTACCATATTATTGGTCATTTGCTTTCTTTCAATATTACTGTTGTCAAATAACTTGGATACACTGGAAGTAAAATGAAAGTATCTTCATTACCTCCTGATGTCTCATGCATGGCCTTTCTTGTACTACTGTGCCTGGCGCATTTCTGGTTGTGTGGAACATTTCCTGTATTTATATGACCACAGAAGCCTTTTTCCTAAAGTACCTTTTACAGCTTGTTTTCCCAGAACATACTACAGGAAAAGCTGCCATAGAAGGTGATATACAACATTTGCAAAGCTTTGAAAGAAAAACATGGAATTCAAGAATTACATGTACAATCATGCTATTTGTATTTGTAAAAGCAGTGGGGATTAATTATGCAAATGCATATATTCTCTGTGAAAAAAATATTACTCAGAGGCATGTTCCACATGAAGAGCACAATGATTCTAAAGGAGGAACTCACAAATGGCAGATAAGAACTGGTAGGAAGCAGTGAGGCCAGCTGATCATATTGAAGTAAGTCTAAACAGTCGCAGCAAATATATTGTCTAAATTGACATCAAAAGATTAAAATATTTGAAAAGAAGTTATGTGTATATTTTTAAAATTTATTTTTAGAGAGAGGGGAAAGGAGGGCCAAAGAGAGGGAGAGAAACATCGATTGGTTGCCTCTTGTATGCACCCCGACCAGGGACAGAACCTGCAACCCAGGCATGTGCCCGGACTGGGAATGGAGCCAGTGACCTTTTGCTTTGTGGGAATGGCCAGCCAGCTGAGCCACAGAGGTCAGAGTGAAATTATTTATATTGAAACAATGGGATAATAGCATACATCAGAATAGATCAAAAGAATAAAGAGGAAAGGGTCTTCTTCAAGAAAAAAAAAGGGATGTAGAAAGGATATCTATGTATCTATCTAAAGGTGTAAGAGCAACTCCTGTCAACACCTCCTGTGGACAAGCTTCCATCCTAGGTCCAGGAGCCAGGGAGCAGCGCATCAGAGGCTGGAAGCTCCTGGCAGCTAGGGCTCTGCATGCCTCCCAGATCTGTGGTCTTATTGTCACCTGTTAGGGATTAAGACAGTGAAGGGGAAGTTAAATGTAAGGCCCAGGAACCCACATAGCCTGCTCTGGAAGGATCTGCAAAAAAAATGGGTCAAACAGGCAAGTTTTAGTGCTTGGAAGGGGTAAGCACTGGCTATGGATGAGAGCATGATCAGCTATGGCTCAGGACTGTCTCTCTGTCCTAAACCCAGTGGTCAGAGCCACCAGGCCTTTCTCCGGTTGCAGTTCCCTGAGAGTCACATCCACCATGCCACAGAATGGGGATGACATACTTTACTGGATGGTAAGGTTTCATACCACCAAAGGAAAAAAACTCCACATATTCTGTAAGGCTCCATGTTATTTGACGCTCTCATTTTAAAGACATTCTCTTTGGTATCGTAAACCGTCATAACCACCCTATGAGAAAAGTAGACTAGTACAGTCACCCCACTTTACAGATGAAGTAGTTGAGGTAGAGATTAAATAATTTGGCCAAGGTTCTCAGGTCTGTGCTCTTAGGGTGGATTAATGTGGAACCCTTGGCTAGTGATCTTTGCTATTTCTCAAAGATGAATTTAGCTTTAAAGGTTTGTGGAAATGTGCTGTATGTTTATTTGTACTTAGATGAACAGGTAAATAGTGGACTGTACGACTGGTCGCTGCCATGAAAGGGGGGAGGGCTCCATGGAAAGGGAAGATCACTTCCGCTCTGGGAGGTGAGTGGAGGGTCAGGAAAGCTCCACAGCAGTGAGTGGTGTGAGGCAGGCCTTCAGGGTAAAACACATTTGTGCCTTATACTTAGTAGGACCGTACTTAATACAACACAAATATAACAAAGCTGAGAATCGGATGACATTAAGAAATAAACCCCAAGCAATACACACACTACACACACTATATGTGTGACTTCAACACTCAGTGTATTCTTAGTTTCTGACTTCAGGCTTGGCTGCCTAAACTACATATGGATCATGGAACCCCGTATTTAGTATTTCATTGGCTTTCCCTGTAATACAATAAAATCATCTTTATAAAAAAAAAAGACAAAAAAACCCAGAACATTTTTGCTATGGACCCAAGGGAAGGTATGACTAACCAAAATTTCCCAACAGAGAACAAAGAACACTTAGGTGCACTGATTCTGGGAACAAGAGTGACCCTGTTCTCATTATGCTATGAAACCAAATTCTTCAACTTGGATGATAATACACAAACGATCAAAACCAATTAAGACACAATATGATTCATTTTTATAAGGCAGAGCAGCAATAATCTAGAGAAAATAAAATTAACACATGGGACTATACATGTTTAAAAAATAATTTATTTATTTATTTTTAGAGAGAGGGGAAGGGAGAGAAATGTGGAATGGTACCTGGCCTTCAACCCAGGTACCAACTGAAATCTGGCCTTCAGTCCAGGCATGTGCCCCGACTGGGAATTGAACTGGCGATCTTTCAGTTCACAGGCTGGTGCTCAATGTACACAGCCACATCAGCCGGAGCTACAGATTACATCTTAACACTGATAAGACTCAGAATTATTATAACATATTGTTTTTCCAAAAAAGTACACAGAAAGGTGTGGAGTATAAGATGATGGCTCAGATTCAAGATTAAAGCATATTTTTTACATGGTCTTTGGCATTAGAGTTTTGAGGCCAGAATCTATTAAGAATGATATTAATGAATGTAGCATAGACCCCTTAAAAAATCTGATTATACCAGAAGTTTGGTGACATACTGGTAGAGCTGTTCTGTAAATGCTTCAGAGGAAAACTTCTCCTTCACCCTGGCTCTGCCAGCCAGTCCCATTGTGGCTTTTAAGGAAGGTTCATGGATGAACTTTTCTATTGCTTCTGAGAAGTGCGCTGGGTCAGGCTCACACAGAAACCCCGTGACACTGTGGACAACGGACTCCAAGGGCCCGCCTGAGTTAACAGCAATGACTGGGCACTGCATGTACATGGCCTCCAAAGGGACGATGCCGAAGTGTTCATTGCTTGGTGTGTAAATCACACACGTGCAGCCGTGGAGGAGTGAGATTTTCTGTTTGTCCGAGAAAGACCGCAGGAAGGTTACAGACTGGTCAAGGTCCAACTGCTGGACCATTTTCTTTAATTCTTGATAGTGTTCCACGTTCTCCAGGACTCTCTCGTCATAACCACCAGCCATGATCAGATGAACCTTGCCCCAATCTTGGGATGTCAATCTTTCACGCAGCTTTACTAGGGTTTCCAGTGCCAATGTCAGGTTTTTCTTCCTTTCATATCTGTTGATAGAGAGGAACAGAAATTTTTTTCCCTTGGGGACTAGATCATCAAGTTTTTCAGGGACAGCTGAATCAAAGCTGGTAACATTCAGAGATGGGTAGAGAACATTGGGGTCTATGTGAGACAGGGATGTAAATGTTTTCTTAAATATGGCTGCTGTGAACTGGCTGTTGACCAAGATGCAGTCGGCCATGCCTGTGGTATATTCTTCTAGCCAATCAATCGGGGCCCTGTACAGACATTTAAGAAAAGAATCCCTCTTGGTAAGAAGCAGATCTGGGAAGTGACAATAAAACAAGATCTTCTTACGCCGTCTGGCCAGCTTGAACACTGGGATACAAGCAGACACCTAGCCAAAGCAAAAATCAACAGATATGGTGACTGGTTACCTAAACTTCAAATAAATCTAAAGAACTAGACATCCACACTACCTACAAGTTTATGGGCTCCTCATGGGCAATGCCTCATTCTGCTTTGTGTTCCTGTAGCCTCTCACCTGGTATTAAAGGCTGGTAGACATTTTCTGGATGTGTGCTAAATATTTAAAGCTGTAAGTCCAGTGCTTTCTCTAGAATAGTATTGTCCAGTGGAAATAAAAACCTAGTAACCACATTAAAATTTTTTAAAGTGTTAAATTAATTTTAACATTTATCTAAAATATTACCATTGCAAAGTGTGACCAATGCTAAAAATGTCAATGAGATACTTTACACTTTTTTCCACATTAAATATTTACAATCAGGTGTGTATTTTACACTTATAGCACATCTCAGTGCAGACTAGTCACATTTCAAGTGCTCAACAGCCACCTGTGGTTAGTGGCTACCATGTTGGACACAGCAGCTCTAGTGTATTTCTCCTAAGGAACTGAAGGAGCTATACAGGTTAGAATGCAGGTTCTGGAATCAAGATCACCAGGGTATGAATCTTAGTTCCACTAGCTAGCCATGACCACGATCAAGTAATCTACCTCTCTGGGCCTCAATTTCCTTTTCTCTAACATGGTGACAATTATCATACAAAATATCCGTATGTTGTTTGTAATTATCAAGTGCAATGGGATATGTGAAAGGCTTAAGAATTTGGCATGTAGTATGTGCTCAGTAAATACTAATCATTATCATGACTAAGTGTGAACTACATGCTGTCATTGTTAGATAATTTTACAAATCACTTGATCTCCAACTCATTTAACACCTGAAGGTGAGCTTTAGGGATACTGAAGCATTTATCTAAAGCTACTTAGTGAGAGAGTAGCAGATAAATGGAATTTGAATCCAGATCTCCCCTACTTCCAAGCTCAGTTTTTTCTCTACCTGCTGCAGTCTTAACTGCCTCATGTTTATTAACTAGTTAGACACTCAGGGTGTTTGGAGAATGAAATATCTTCCACGCAAGCAAGGATGATCAAAAGTAACTCAGAAGTCATAAAGAAATACAAATACGAATGTGATGCCATTTCCCCCATCAGTGTGGCAAAGACTAAAATGGTTGGCAACATTTAATGTGCACAAAAGCATGGAGGCTCTATCATATGTGTGGGAAAGTAAAGTGACACAATGTATTGGGAAGGCAAATTTGGCAATAGCTATTGACATTTAAAATGAACAACTCTTAGACCTACTAATTTTATTTCTGGGAAATTGGCCAAAGGACATACTGGTACTTGAAGAAATACAAAGAGAAGGTATAAGGATGTTCATTAAAAAACTTACCTAATCACAAAACACTGGCTACAATTGTAGCGTCAAAGAATGAATTAATTATGGTGTAGTTAAAAAAAGGCAGAATTTCCAGCCACTACGAAGAATGAAGTTAATCTCTAATTCTGATCTATAACGATGCTTCCAAATAGAAATTTTTTGTGGGGAAAGAAAGCCCAATAGTAATATGCTATAATCCCAATTATTACAAATAAGATTTAATCTGTCAACAGACACATACGCTCCTGTAGCCATAGACAATTTCTGCAAGGATACCGGAGACACTGTTAACAGTGGCAATCTTTAAAGAAAGGAACTGGGGTGGAGCTTTTATATTATACTTTTTTTATATTATTTGACTTTTTAGTCTTAGTAAAAGTTACTTGTTTAAAATAAAAACGGTTTTTTGGGGGGAACGAGGGGAAGACTAGGTGTCTAGAATAATTAAGAGCCCAGATGCAGGTGGGGACTCTTTATCAAGCAAAACAGTTTGAACTTTTCAACAAAGATTAATGGAGAGCCACGTAAAGTTTTAATGGGGACATGACATGTTTAGCTTGATATTTTAATACCTGACACTGCTAAGAAGCGGGATGACCTGGCTGGAAATGCTGTAGATAGTGTGATGTATGTGGCCTAAAAGTAGTGTCAACAGAAATAGTGCAATGAAGGAAGACAGACGAGTCACTCAGAAGTAAAAGGTGACTGAAGGCTGTCTTCGAATGCCTGTGTTTCTTAGCGGGAGCCCTAAGGCCCACCTGCTTCAGAATCACCCTCTGTGCCAGTGAAAAAGGCAGATTTCGGGCCCCATCTCAGGCTCCTGGATGAAAAGTTCTCATGGTGGGGCCCTGTAATGTGCAACTTAAATGTGTCTACACTAAAGCTCGAGAACTACAATCACTCCCAGCTCTGATCTCTCCAGATGAGTTCCAACCTTTCCGAATCCCAGACCGGAAGAGATCATCAGAGATCAAGCAGTGTACCCTCCGCAGTGAAAAAAGGGGGCGCGGCGACGGACCCGCCCAGTCACCTCACCTGGTCGCATACTACGACGTCGAACTCCTCGTCGCCGAGGAACAGCACATAGAGCGCCAGGAAGATCATGCGCACGTAGGCACAAACCGCGGCGCCGCGGCCGCCCCAGCCCAGGCTGCGCGGCAGCCAGTCCCCGGCGCAGCGGACCGGCAGTTCGCGGCTTTCGGCGAAGCAATGGCCCGGGTCGTAGTGGGCAGTCCAGATCTTCACATCACATCCGCGCTCCCGCAGCGCCAGCGCCGCGTCCAGCACCAGCCTCTCGGCGCCGCCCACGCCCAGGTCTGGGTGCAGGAACAGCACCGACGGGCCGCAACCCCCTTTACCATTGATGTTGTGGTCCCCCATGGTCCGGATCTCTCGCCGGCTCCCCTACGCCCTTAGGCACTTCCGGGCCGGGTCCCTCCCCCGGCTCCTCGCAGGCCCCAGCGGGGCCGACTACGCCTCGCGGCGGCTGCCTGGCTTAGGCCACATCAGCGAAAATCCGTGGGCGCCTAGTAACTGCCGGAGAAAAGTTCTCGCTTGACCGAGTACATATACACCCTCCTTTTGGTAGAAATCAGACTCTAAGAAGGCCGCTGTGATCTAAAGGAAGAAGACGGAAGGTCTGTACTTCCCACATAGCAGCTGACCAAGTCGCCTGTAGCAATTTTTTACAGGCATATAGTAGGGCAACCCAGGCGTCCTCGGAGTCAGAGACCCTGCCAGCAGGTCTGGGGGCGGGGCTTGAACCAGTTTCTGAACCAGCTTCTTCGGCCGCAGGTCCTCTGAGTGCTGCAGTGCTTCCCTGCCGTCTGTTTTGGTTCCCTGCCACCCTCCAGTTTCCAGCATGGTATGACTACCCGAATCGTTCCCGCTTAGTCCCCCTCTCTCCCAGGTGCTCCGCGTTCTCCCTTACGCCTTGCCCGTTTTCCGAGGCTTCCTTGCTTTCCCCACCTTCCCGTGCAGATGCCCGACTTGGCTGTCAGGGCCTGGGGTCTGGGGCTGGCGGGCCGCGCTCACCCCTCTGTCTCCTTGTTTTCCTCCACAGCCTGGTCCGACCCCCAGTGGCACTAACGTGGGCTCCTCAGGACGCTCTCCCAGTAAAGCAGTGGCCGCCCGGGCGGCGGGTTCCACGGTCCGGCAGAGGTAAGGATCCCTGCGATGCTCTCGGTTGTGGGCTGGGAAAGATAGGGCCCTAGAATCCCCTGGTGCTGAGAAGGAGACACCGAGATATTAAGATTCCTAAAGACAGAAAGAGCGTTAAGTGACGCAGTCGTGGGAGTAATGGCTGCCACTTAAGAAAAGGAGACAAACTAGAATTGAGCCAGAAACAACTTTGAGAAAACTGATTATCATTGAACTGGTGTCTCTGCTTCTCAGCTTTGCATTCCCATTTGTACCTGGAGGTCCCACACACACTCAGTTTCACGTGACTTGTCCTATCACCCCAGCCCCACCCACAGTTACGTTTCTTTACTGCCATATGGCACTGCTCTACACCCCTTCTCTACATTCCTTCACCCTGAGCCAAGACTTAAGCGGCATCCTGAATTTTTCTTGTGCACTCTCTCAGTCCAGTCATTTGTCAAGCTTTAAATTAGACACAGAAACCTGCTTATTATTTCTTTTCGTCTTCATTGCTGCCGCCCCAGTTTAGCTGTCAACTTCTCTCATTTAGACATTTGCGTTTTGTACATAACGCTTCTACTTTCCTGGTCATTCCCACGCCAGTCCATCCTGAGCTCTGGTTCTGTCACTCTTCTGCTTAATTTCTCTGTTAGTTTCTTTTGCAGAGCAACAATAACAACAACAACGGATAGCAAGGTTCTTGATAATTTTTTCCAGCCTAACAGCCTTTTCTCTCTCTCTCTCTCTCTCTCCTGTGGTCCAGCAGTAGTGAACTTATAAGTGTTTTATGAACATTCCCACACCACCCCCAACACACACTCACACAATTTCTGTTTATTCTCTCAAGACTAAACTCACAGGTTATTTCCTCTTGAGGCCTCCTCTGACTCCAAAAGTAGCCGTAGCTACTCTTCCCTTTTGCTCTCAAAGCATTTCATTCATATTGTGGTAACAGCATTTATTTCTGTATTAGACTTTGGTAGGCACTGCCCAAGTCAATCTCTATTCTGTTGTGAGGCCTGATAAAATAATTGATGAATAAAGGGAGGAATCATTCTTGGGATGTTCTTTGGGATTTTTGAAGGAACTGGTGGAGTTTTATCTAGTGAGGGGAAGACCTTGAAGGAATACATGAAAGCTGTTCTTAACAATGTGAAGAGTGATGAGATTTTTCTTGTTGGCTATAGTAGGTAAATATAAAACTAACAATTTGAACTTGCAGGAGGCAGATTTCTGCTCAGAGGAAAGCAGTTCTGATATAACTCTGAGTAATGGTTGGGTTATCCTGAACAATTGAGAATTGCTTGTCACTAATATGTTTGAGGGAGGGCTGGGAAGGGTCAGCTGGAAAGTACCTCAAGCTGTGGTTTGGGTGATAGGGGTTTGAGTTGCTGTCCCATGTCCACCCTATATTTCAGGGATTCTTTGTGCTGGAATGGAAAACGTGTCCCGTAGGTAGGGCTCCTTGGGACGTGGGTCAGGTTAGTAAGAGCTGGTAGTACCAAGGCAGGGCAGTCAAGCCATCTGAGAATTTTTAAAGAAAAAAAAAGGGAAGTCACGTATTTACCAAATGTAAAGATAGTGAAATAACATTTACTTAATAAAAGTGAAATTACTGCTGCACAAACGAAATGGAGAAACTTAAACATTTGAGGACGGACGCAGCTTTTCAAGTTGTGGGTGTTGATGTCACTTAGGGTTCAGGATGGCTGGGACTAAGGTAACTAGGCAGATCATGGTTGTATGTATTGAGAGAGAGAGCGCCATGTTCGCTTCTACAATTGGGGCACTCTAAGTGTTACGTAACATGTGTAATGTAATAGGTTTTGGCTGTCTAAGAACACATCCATGCTTTGTAAGTCTTTATGGAAAAGTTGAAGCTAATGCTTGGATTATGTAGTGTGCAGACTTGTATTCTCTCTCTCTGCTCCATGATATAGTAGGGGCAGTACCTTGAAGAAGAAACAGTAAGGGATTTCACGTCAGGTCAGGCGTGGAGGCATCCTTTCTCTTTTGAGCATAGTATAAAAGAAAGGTGCTATGAGGAGAAAAAGGAACAATGATGCATTGTAAACAGTAACGCTGTAAAAAGCTCCACAGCACTCAAGCAGGTTTAATGGGAATCAGGGATATTAAGATGAGAGAATAGCCCAGGGTATTAAGACGGCCATCAAATAGTGACTGAGGGAACATGCCAGGCACTTTTCCAGCTCTACGGATATATCTGTGAACAAGATAGTCACAGGTTTGACTTCACGAACCTTATATTCCAATGTGGGATACTGGCAAATAACTAAATAATGTAATTTCAGGCAAGAAGGACTATGAAGAAAAGTGAGGCTGGGTGGGGTTAGGGGGTGGCTATATAGCTGTTTTAGCTAGTGTTTTCAGAGTAGGTAGGTGCCGTTTGAGTGGAGACCTGGAAGAAGCCAGGGAGGAAACCATGCAATGGTCGGGGAAGGAATAGGTTCCATCTAGACAAAAGGGATGATTAAAGTGTAAAGACTCCGAGGTAGGAATGAGCTTGGCTTTGAGGAACAGCCAGAAGGCCATCACATTAGAACAAAGTACGTAAAAGGGCAGTTATGAAACCATCATGTCAAGGAATAGGAAGGAGGAGGCAGTTACATAGTGGCCAGAAAAAAAGGGTAAAATAGACCCCAGATAGAGATTAAAATGGGCTCTATTAACCTCCGCCTACTTCCCAGTGTGGGGGCAGGGGAGTATGGGAGGTATTTTTGAATACTTTTGGTATTTCTAGGGGTCCTGACTTTCAACTCCTCTTTGTGTTCCATGTGCCAGTAGATAAAAGAAATCTTAAAAAAGGCCAGGCTAACCCTTTTGAACTCCCGGAGACTTTGAAGATAGGACCTGGGGTTGGGAGATTGGGAAAATAGTGGAAAGTGCCTGGGTCCTAGTCCTGGCTCAGCCCATGACTTACCATGTCCACCCTGGGTTTACTGTCCAGCTCAAATTTCCTTTTATGAACAAGGAGGAAAATTTCAGGGACCTACCCCACAGATTAAATGATGTGTGTATCTCTGTGGGAAAGCTCTTCCAGGTGTATGGATTACTTGGTAAATCCCTCTATAGTATGTTCACTGTTTACAATCAGTTTTCCCATTCTGTCACTGAAACAGTCATACAGGTGTAGTTACAAGTTCCAAGGCCACCATGTAACCTATAATTAATGTGTCTGAGATGCAGTCTTTGTAGGACAGTAGACCCGAATCATTATTTGACACCAGTTGCTCTCAGGGTTCTAGCATGAACGGAGACGGCTCCTTTCCTGGAACCCACAGTAGAACCACGGCTCTGCTCTCCCGTTCTGTGCAGCAGGGCAGGCCGCCTGAGTTCCAGACCAGTGCTTCTCGCTGTAGAGTGTGGGGTCAAGGCCCTGGCAAGGCGAGGTGGGGGATTGGATCACATTTGGGAGGGTGGTGAGAAGAGATGGTAGGGGTAAGGTTCTCACTTCTGTTTTCGCCCTGTATGCTCTTCCCTTTAGAGAAAATCCAGAATCAGTAGCCTGCAGATGACAGGAACGGGGTTTTGAGGGAGGGTAACGATGAGGGGCAGTGATGGGCCAGGGCGCGCCCTCTCTCCCCTTCCTCCCGTACCCAGGATTTCTGAGTTGGTGATAAACGGGCTGAGGGAGGTCCTTCTGACTTCTGCTCTCACACTACGTATGTTGCAGTACTCAGCACCGAGGCGGGATGAGAGGCAGGATTGGAGCAGTGCTTTGTGGAAGAGCAGCTGTCGGGCGGGCCTCGGCCGCAGCGGGGGGGAGGGTTCCCCGGGCCTGTTCCTGGCAGGTGGCGTGTGCTGTCCGCTGCGCCAGGGGCCAGGACTGCCTGCGTCCCACCGCCATCTCCCCAGCCCCAATCTCCTTGAGAGGGACAAGGTCTGGTGGGGCGTGTTCTGCATTTTTTCACATCCCAGCTCTCTGTCCAGGATCTGTGGCATATCTAAATAGTGAAAACAGATCACTGAATAAGTTTTTGTAAAATGTGTGTTCTGTTTTGGGACCTGGATTATAATTAAAGTTTAACATTTTTGTCTCTTGTAGCAAACACAGTAATTTTAAAACATTTTTGGGTAATTTAAAAATGAGATTACAGTTGACCCTTGAACAACATGGAAGTTGGGTCGTCAAAAGTCCACATAGAACTTTGGACTCCCCCAGAAACTTAACTACTAATAACCTATTGGTTGGTGAGAAGCCTTACCAATACCATAGTTGATCAACACTTATTTTGTATATATATTACATACTATATTTTTTACAGTAAACTAAGCTAGGAAAGAGAAAATATTGTTGAGAAAATCATAAAGAAGAGAAAATACATTTATGGTATTGGGGAAAAGCAACTCCCCACACAGTTTAAATGAAACCTGTGTTGTTCAGAGGCCGACTATATAGGGCATTTTAAAGCAGGGGCTTCTTATTTGGCTTCACAAAAATATGTGTAAAGAGAATTGAAATACATGGTTCAAATGTATTGCTCATAGGTTTGGGCAACTGGATGGCCTCCGGAGTCAGAACTAGGTCCTCAGCCCAGCTCGGCCACCTGCTGGCCATGTGGTCTCAGGCAGGCACTTTGTTTAACCTTTTGTGGGCCTTATTTTCCTCTTTTATAAAACAGAAATGGTAACTGCTTTCCAGGGTTGTGTATGCCGTAGCATATGGCCGGTACTCCGTTCACGGGGGCGTGAAAACAATTTGGGGTGTACTAACAATAGGAAAAGTTTTTCTTGTTTTGGTTCTTTAACAATGTCACGATAGCGTATGTTATAATGCCATTATAAGGGTTTCCAAAAAAGGCCGTTTGTAACATTTTTTCCTCTGAACAGGAAGAATGCCAGCTGTGGAACAAGGAGTGCAGGCCGCACGACCTCAGCAGGCACTGGGGGGATGTGGCGCTTCTACACGGAGGATTCGCCGGGCCTCAAAGTGTAAGTCTTGGGAGCAGCCCTTGTGTTCCTGTCCCGCGTTGCGGGGCTGTGTGGCCGCACTGTTGCCTCCACCATCGGCAGTGCTGGCTTTGATGACATTTACTCTGCACAACCGCTCCACTTGTGCCAGGTGGGCTGGGTTTGGTTTGTCCATGTACCAGCCAGTTAGTTTAGGGCCTCCACTCACCTCTCTTCATGGGCTGGGTGAAAGCAAGGGAAGAGCTTCATGTAGCTACGCCAAGTAAATGATGGGGACAGAGAGCACGGGAGGGCGAGCTGCCTAATTAGATGGAATTCCTCTTCGTTTGGTGTTCTTGTCCCACACAGACATAGGAGTATCCGTCTGAATAGGAGTTGGGTGGTTTTTCAAAGCTTTCCTGGAAGCATGAGCTGATAGTATTACAGCCTAATGGAAGTTTCTGCATTAGGTGTGTTTCCCAAAGTTCTTTGGCCTTCTTGCCTTCCATGGTTGGTGAGTAGACCCTGGAGGGTGGACACAGCACTTTCCAAGTTCGTGGGTCTCAGAGTGCTCATTAGGTGATGGGAAATGGGCATGCGGGGGACCCCTGTCCCCATGCCTTGCTCATTTTGCTTTCCAAGGTTTCTAGTAATGTGTGGCACACCTAAACCCACAGGTTTCTGATCTGGTAGGCTCTAGGGCAGCCCTGCTTACAACGGCATCCTGGCTCTACCCAGCAGATGGGGAGGAGTAACGACAGCTCGTATTTGCACTGAAGATACAGAAGCTCAGGTTTAGAGAGGCAAAGTTATGTCAAAGATAAGCTAGCACGAGCTGGAATCCTATTCTGACTGTTCATGTGTCTGTCTTGTAGAAAAGAGACAAAATTAGATTTATCTGGATTAGTTTAATTAACTTGATCAATGGCTTGGATCACAAATTTCAAGACTTGTGTGGTAAGGTGAGAATGTATTCAGGAAGTAATTCTTGGGGTCAGGGATATAGGAGTTGTCCGCATTCAAGACCCCCTTTTGGTCTTTGTTAAAGGTGACTTTTCTGAGTGTTTCAGAGAGGAAGTTTGAAGCCCCTTGATGTGTAGGGCATCCAGGGGCAGGAGACCCCTTTTACACCCTTCTCCAGAAGGGGGTGAGAGCCTCTGTCCTGCGGGCGTCTGACCTGTGTCAGCCCTGGGCTTCCTGCTCTGGTGCAGCCGGCTTGTCGCTGCTGCCTGAGCACTCCCCGGGGTCACCAGGAGCTGTTCCTTGAAGTGTCATAAAGCACAGTGTCATCACACTAGAGGGATGGTAAAACGACACAGCTGGGAATTTGTGTCCACAAATCCACATCTTGGAGCAGTCAATTAACAGCTTAGAGTTTGTCGGCTCTTTGTAGGAGTTTAGAGTTTTTTTTCAGGTTGAGAATAGTAGCATTTCCTGAGAGCTTATGATAAGCCTGCATTGCTTGTGTATTAATTATTTAATACCTTAGTAGCCCTAGGAGAGATGTACGGTGATCATTTATACTTTACCGATGAGGAAATTGAGGCTTGGAGAAGGTAGGGCATACGTTCATAGCTCATAAGTGACGGAGCTGGTTTGCAGACTCTGGCCCTCGGACTCTGAGAGCCACCCTCTCACCTTTATGCTCTATGGCTCGTGCTACTCTAACACTAATGCAGGGGCTTTGATTAGTGCGAAGTGGTGCAGATCTCTTCCATGTATTTTTAAATTTGTTTACTCCTATAATTGTGCAGATTTTGAAAAAACAAAATAGTGCAGCATGGACATGGATTTCTGTGCATTGTTTATTGTCCGCTAGTGGCCTCTGTTACTCCGCTGTGCCTCTGGGGTCTCTCCTGCTGCGCATGCCTCAGTTGTATCTGGGAAGTGAAGTGACAACTTGAATTCTCCAAAACCGGTACTGGCAGGAAGAGTCAAGAAGGCGGGGCCCATAACGTTTCACTAAAGTCAGTGATTTAAGGAAGAACTGAAGAGGAAAAGTCTCTTTCCTTCCTATAATAAACTCATAAGTATGAATCAGACTTAGCACACGTTGCCTAAATTTGTTTGGTCCTTGAAGATGGGAATCTTAAAGCAGTAAAGTGAGCAGTATATGAAATCAGAAAACTGGAGCTCAAGTCTCTTCTTTCATTCTAGTAATGTGTTCTTAGGCAGGTAATTATCTCTCTGGCCTCAGTTTTACTTATTTATGAGATAAATATTTGTTTTGCCTATGTCATGAGTTTATCAGTGGGATCATATATTTGAAAACACTTTGTAACTTATGATTCTCATCTTTTCAGGCCTCATATATTGAAGCTAGACAATGAAGGCTGTCTTAAATAAATCTTACTTTGAAATAATAAATTTATAATTGGATCATTTGCACTTAAAGAGTTTTGGGAGGTTTTTCTTATTTTTATTATGGAAAAGATTGAATGCATGAAATTAGAGAGATAGTGTCTCCAAGACATCAGATCATTTTATATGTGTAATTTTAGTACATTTTACTAAAACATAAAGATTCCTCCTATATTAATAACCACAATTCTGTCTTCACCTCTTCAAAATATCCACAATAATAATTTTGGAATTGTTTTAAATGAGGCAAATAATATTCTTGGATGCTCTTCTTAGGTGCTTTTCTCCCCTTACCAGGCAATGTTTAGTAATAGAAATATCGTACTGTATTATTATTAAAAGTAAGTATGCCTTTTCTTCTTATTTTCAGTGGCCCTGTTCCAGTATTGGTTATGAGTCTTCTGTTCATCGCTTCTGTATTTATGTTGCACATTTGGGGCAAGTACACCCGTTCATAGATTGGGCTACATCCATCTGTCTGTCATCTGAAGAAGGAAAAAAAAAACCCCAATATATCTTGGACCAAAAGCATAGTGATTTTCTGTTCATGAGAAAGAAATTTTCTGTAAGCTTTCTGTTTTACAGGGAACTTAATGAGAATTGATTTTAAGGAATCGGTTTTTTTGTATGGCTAATAAACTTTTTAATTCATTTATACCAAGTCTGTTGATGCCTGACTATTAGGGCCCTTAATCCCTCTGTCTTTCAATTACAAGTAAACATGTAGAAAACAAGTTTTGTGGAGATTGTTTCCTTTGTTGGATTGGCAGTTCTTTATATAACCATTCAAATCCAAGGCACTGTAAGGGGCCTTGGCTTGTTTTCTTCTAGGTATTTCTGGCCTGGTGATTGTCATTTTGGTGACTGTGTGGTTTTCAAGGAGTGCGCCTTTGACTCCAGCAGGCAGATCTGTATTCAGAGGCAGCTGGCACCAGGGGGAATAGTCGTAGAAGTCGTAAATCAGAAATCTTGGATGAAATGTTTGCTCATTCTGTTCTTTGTCTCTAAAACCATGGATAAAATTTTTGCCTCTTCTCTCTTTCAGTTCTTAATTCTGTGAGCGTAGACCACAGGTTTTCATATATTTATCGCTTGTTGCTAAACCTATTTTGAAAGAATTCATTTGATAAGTTGGATTTTTCAAATAAAATTTTGTTTTCATTTTGAAAATTAAATACCTTTCTAATCAGAGTGAGATATCAGCATTTCTAAACTGAGTTGATATAATTCCAATCCAAAAAAAATTTTTTTGAGGTTTCACATAGTTTATGATTGCCATTCTGGGCATAAGCATTCGGTTTCTGGTAGAGCCTGGGAAACACCAAGAATAGCTTGCAGGTGCATACTTCAGGAGCCTAGGACTCCAAACCAGATTTTCTGAGGAGTAAGTGATCCATGTGAAATCCCTTTAGTTGTCCAATGTGATAAAGAGGTATATTAGTTAAAAAAAACAGGTAATTTTGAAAATTCTTTGTAAACAAAGCTTAAAAAAATTTTTTTAGAACAGTTAAGCCGTTTCATCATGTTTTCTTAAGCCCTGGCTGTAAAGTAAACTAGGTCCAGAGAACCACATTTAAATGATGGAAGTATGTATCTTTAGTAAAGATTTCTTAGGGCAATATATGGATGAGTGTGTTTTTATAAAGCCTAACAAATGGGTTCCTGGGGGAAAAAAAAATGAAAAATTGGTTCCTTTGGATCCTGGGAATTGGCTTATTGCGTGAAATAGACATCTTCATTTTGAAATTTAGGGGAAAATGTTTCAATTTCATTTGGAAGAAATTAAAGGTGATAGACAGTATCTATAATGGATCCCCTCCCACCCCAATATTCAGGCTGGTGCAACAAATAACGGCTAAAAGGCTTTTAATTTGGAAAAGAGATCTGTTCCTGCACCCAGAGGGGTCTGTTGTCCCTGGGGAGCTGCTGAAGCCACTTGGGGGAGCTATTGGGTTGTCAGGGGTGCATTTTCTTCACTGCCTTGCACGGCCTGTTAGCCCTATCTGCCTAGCAGAGGTCTCCCGTGGACTGATAGTGGGAAGCCACGGAGTTTTCTGAGCTAGCGATTTATAAGACAATGCTATTTTGTTGCGGCAGAGCAAGGAGATGCTTCACTCAGCAGAAGGAGAACTGGGGGTTGGGCAGAAATGTACTTTTGGCTCTGATGACAGAGTGCTAACACAGTCTTTGTGTTCAAGCTGTTCCTTTCTCATTTCTCAATTTTTAAAAATTGTGGTAAAATGCACATAACAAAGTGTGTCATCTTAACCACTTTAAGTGTCCCCATCAGGGGTATTAAGTACGTTCACGTTGTTGCCCAGCCATTGCCACTGCCCGCCTCCGACGCTCTTTCTCACCTCGCGAAGCCGAAGCTCAGCCCACCAACCAGCGCGCTCTGCCCCGTCCCCGCAGCCCCTGGCGCCCCCGTCTGACTTTCTGTCACTATGAATTTGACTCTTCAGTACTTCATGTAAGAGGAATGACACAGTGTTTTGTCTGTTTGTGACTGACTGACTCCACTTAACATAGTGTCCCCAAGGTTCGTGTTGTAGTGTGTGTCAGCATTTCTTTTTAAGGCTGAATAATATTCCATTGTATGTATAGACCACCTTCTGTGTTCCTTTCTTTCTAAACAGGGATTGCTAGACTGTTGTTTCTCGGGCCAGGTATGGTAAGTCTGAAAGCCTCGCCAGTCAGACCTTCACCTGCATGAAGGCTGCCTTAGCCCAGAGAACCCTCAAGGTCCTTTGACTGGGGGCTGTAATTGTTGCCACCCCTGGGCAGTGGGCACAGCCAGCAAGCTCTGAGCAGAAGCTCTAAGAGGTTAAAACTGGGAAATGCATTCCATTATAACACAGCTTGGGCTGAGCCGTTTAACTTGTTGGGGAACAACCAACATAGGAAAAGGGCGAGGTAACCTGTTGGGGGATGGAAGGACCAGGATCTCTGGGCACAGTAGTGCCCTGAACACTTCGGTGAAAGAGTCGTCGAAGAGAGATCCGTTCCTGGGTGAGGCGGAACACACCATCGCTTCCTTTTGCACCAGTCCTACTCTAGACTCCAGTTTTTTCCCAGATGCTGTGTCCTCATAGGAAGAATTCTGAAGTCATGCAGTGCTGGCCCCAGGGTAAAATAGATGAAAAGGCCCACAAAGCGGGCTTCATTCAACAGAAAATACAGTATGTGGAGGTGCTGTGTGCATGGTGCCAAGCTCTTTGATGCCCTTCCAGCTGCCCTCGGGGAGTTTCAGAGCTGCCTCGCCCTCCCCTCAGATGCTGCAGAAGTGGGGAGAGGCTGGGACAAGTTTGTTAGTCTGATGCACTTCTGGGACTTCCAGACTTGCCGCACGTGCTACCCACCTTCCAGGCTGGGAAATGTGCCTGACCTGGGTTCAACTGTTGCCCCTGCAATTTACCAGCTGTGAGAATGTGGGGGACTCAATTTCTCTGGGTCTGGTTTTTCTTATGTGTAAATGGCTACGGGTATATTTCCCACCAAATAGGAGGATTGAATTAATAGAATGATCCAACAGTGCTTTGTTAATTAGCTAACAGCAAGTTGCTTATTCTCAGTAATTTTAGATACAGGTTTCTTATGTAATCAACCGTCTAATGAGGAGTTTACTCTGCCCCAATTTACACAAGAGGAAACTGAAGCTTAAGTCACTTCGCTTGTAAGTGAAGGAACTGGGATTTACCTTCACATCTCTGCCTTACCCACTAGAGTCACATAAATGGACTCTTGGCATCTGGTGTGAGGGCAAGGGAATGATGTCACAACATTAGAGGTTCCACAATACAGCTTTTAAAAATAACACAATTCCAAGAAAGTGCTACTCGGTGGTTTGGTGTACTTCAGGCATTACACAGTTTTAGTTTGAGGTTTTCGGTTCCACAGAAGGAATTTGTTTCTCTATTTCAGTGCTTCTGAACTTTGTTCATTTTGGGAGACTCCTTTGGTTGTAGAGAAAGCATAATAATGTTTATTCATTCAACAAACATTTACTGGTCACTGTGTGCCTTGCCCTTCTGTTGGGGTCTTACAAATGACCCAGTGTGGTCTCTTACAGCCTACAAGGGTTGGGCATTTGGATGCTAGGATCCTAATCCTACCTGGGGCTGCACGTTCTAAATAGCCATGCGATTATGGAGAAACCAGACAGGAAACCTTCTCAAGGCCCGCCAGCTATTAGTGAGATGGATAGTTGGGAACCACAGTTTAAGAAGTCGAATGCTCATGCCATGTGGGCGGCGGTGCCAGGGATTGTAAAACTGGCACGACCGCCAGGACCTCCGTACTGTGTGATCTCTTGTCCAGCAGGAAAGCCAAGGAACCCTGGGATGCCTTAGCGGAACGGCTGAGACTCAGTTCGTTGTGTCCTCCCCTTGAACAGAGGAGACGGAGGCCCAGAGAGGAGATGGGACTTGCCCACGATTTCCCCCTTGGCAGAGGGGAGGCCAGAGGAGGCCTCCCGTTCCCAGGCCAGGGCTGCTTTCCAGAACTGCGCTGTGAGCCCTGTTTTGGGTTTGGGCCTGTGAATAAGCCAGCCCGCCTCTCTCTAGAGAAAAGCCTTGGGAATTAGGTAAACCGAGCGGTGGGCTTTGACTGATGGGCTTTGATTAGTGGGCAGTGTTAATCGAAGAGGGAGGAGTAAAGGCAGCAAAGGCATCTAGTAAAAATTACATGAATTATGTTAGCACATCTAGGAGGTCAACAGGGTCATGAGACTCAAATGGAGAGACAAAACAAGGAAAAGCAGCCAGGAGAGCGGCACTGTTTTGCATTCCTGTGACCACAAACTTAAGTGAGCCGAGAACACAGTGAGAGTGACCAAGTCAGGTTAAGGTAAAGGCTAAGCTGTTGAAACACTTCCTGGTCTCTCTGGCCACTAGGCCCGTTTGCCATGCTAGACATTAAAACAAGCTAAAACGTGTAGTCACTAAATGAGAATCAAACGAGTAGACATACATAGTTTAGAGTGCTTCATTTTGGGGAATGATCTAGAAGTGTGTACTCAGCAAATTAACTCATCAAGGTAAGAACTAGAATCACAGGAAAAAGGGTTAAATTGGTCCTGCAAACACACCTGCTTTCCTTCCCATTGACTCCGTCACAGGCAATATGGAGAATAAATCCCACGGTTGTATAACCCTATTGTCTTACCTGTTCTACTCAATACTGTGGTTTCTGGTAACAAAGCAAGCTCATTCTCCTAGGACCCTATCTGATTTGGTTTGGGTTGTAGAATTTTAATCATCGGTGCTCAGATGTTAGCGTGCATCACTGAAGGAACTGTGCCGCTGCTACCTAGCAGGTTTGGGAGTCCCGGCTCTCTGAATAGCAGGCACAACACGGGGCCACGGTTGCCAGGCCTGTAGTTTATTATTCCAGATCCACCACCTGTAGAAGTGTGTTCATTTTGTCCACTTCGCTCTTCTTTGAAGCTTGAACACGGTGCTGTTTTGCAGTCTCTGTGTCTGGGGAAATTCACCTGTCTTCTGTGATTTTGCATTTGATGTTTTCATAGCCGAGCAGTATGCTTGGTCAGCTGGCCATGGAGCTGGAAGGCCCTGAGAGGCGGTGGAGCCCAGATCCTCCCCTCAGTTCTCTCCCTTTGACTCAGCAATGCCTCTTGTTATGGAGGACGTGGTGCCCGAATGAACAAAGTGAGCTCATAT